AAAAGATGCACCATAAGCTTGCCCGTAGTGTACTACTCCACTAATCGAGCTCATTCAATCTTGGATCAATTAGGACTTTATTTGGTTGTAATGTAGGCTACGGGACGGGTAGGATACATTTAGATATAAGGGTGACTACACCTCCCTAAGCACTTTAATACATATACTTTAACATTCAAACCCCATACTTATGTCAAACCAAACTCCACCTTCACATCAATGTATATTACCCCATACTTCTTTAAGCACACTTACATCAAGAGCCACCACTTATCAAGAGATTTTTTTTTTTAACAACAATCCAGCTATTTTTTTTTTCAATTCAAGTGGCTTTTACTTTTTCAAAACAGTGCACCTTTCTCCTTATTTCATTAGTTCCACTCAAAAGCCAAACCAACCACCCCACACTTTAACTTTTACAAAGTTCATAAACAATTCAAGTGCTCATGAGAGGTTACAATGGTTCAAATAGATGGTTAATTCGAACAAATGGGTAAGGCTTGTAATGTGGTTGCCAAAGAAACAGGATTACAGGCTCAAAGGGGTTAACTACGATACATAATAATTAGGCGGGTAAAATATACATATCTGGCTCAACAAAGAAATGTCTATATCACTTCCTAGACTGAATAAAACTACTATTTCGCTTTGCAAACACACGGGGCAAGTTCTAGGCATCAAATGCAATGCACAGAATATCACAAAACGTTACACACACATGGCACATTACTCACTCAAGATTGGATTCATCAAGACACCCTAGTTAGAGCAGTTAAGCAAATTTAAGATCATACAATTTAAGGTACTTATACAAGAGTCAAAAACTGAGCCTAAGCGTCACAACCAAAGTACTCACTATTCTCAAGGCATAACAAAGTCAAGAGATATTGCTTCATTTCAAAACAAAACACAATGGCTCCTATTCCCAAAAAAAAAAAACTAACTACACCTGGTTCAAATAAAACCCTTGGAAAAGAACCGTGATATAAAGAAAAACCAAGGGGTAATTACTACACTACCTAACAAAACAAAAAATCTTTTTGGTATTTTCTTTAGACTTACTTCCCTCAAGAAAACTGTCTAGAAGATCCGTCATCAGAAAAAGTCCAATCTTTTTTTTAATTAAAAGAACACAGCTAAAGTAGCATGAAAAGTCACCCAGACAATCTCCTCACCCCACACTTAAAATTGTGCATTATCCCCAATGCACACCCATACATACAAGAGGGTAAAAGAAACTCCCTGGTAGGCCAAAGACCGAAGCACTAGCAGTTCATGGGGTACTCAGACTTCTCCCAAGCTTGGTCCTTCGTGTGGGTACCTCACACTTAGTTCCAACCATTTGGTTTGCTGATGCATCCTTCCAATACCTTTTCCTTCCATGCTCCTAGAAAATAAAAAAATTGACACTACAAAAATAATATAATTAAAATAATAAAAAAAATAATAAAAGAAAGCAATAAAGCTGGGTTGCCTCCCAACAAGCGCTTGATTTAACGTCGCGGTACGACGTGAATCACTTTCTGCCTCCACTTTGAACATATGAATCGGACCCCAAGTTTTGATTCTGCTCTATGATCATGCTCCTGGGGTGGTAGAACGAATCTGACTAGCCCAATAAAATAATGTAGTATTCTGCACTTCTTGGCCTTTATATGAGGTGTGTAATCCCGACTTTCTGGCAAGAAGAATTCCAGAATGTAAGCACTTTGTTCATCATTCCTTGACTCCTCAAATGGCTCGGACGACTCTATTTCCATATCATCATCTAAACACAATGTGGAAAAATGCTTGGAGTGAGGACCAATGCGCTCAACTACATGAACATTGGGACTATCTACATTCTCAACACTAATGACAATAGAGTCAACTAAATATGTATCCTCAATATCCTTGGTTGACTCTAGTATCTCTTCTACAACATCAACATCCTCAAAATCTAGTGTGATTGATTGTTGGTGTTCTACTCTAGCCTTCTCCTCTAGCTCATCAATTTCTGTATCTAATTCACGCTTTTCTTGGATACTATTCACAATATTGGCTTGTTGAGCATTAAAAACTTCAACCAGTTGACTCATGTGAACTTTCAAGTTGTGAATAGTTTCCTCCTGCCTTTCTATCCGCAGTAGTAATTTACTCTGTTGTTCCAAAATGCACTTTAACATATCTTCGAGCTTCTTTAGGTCAGCTTCCCTAGGTTCTTTGTTCCTATTAACTTCACCAGAAAAAGAAGAACCATCAAAGTAAGGGGTTGGGGGAAGGTAAGAAATATAAGCACAACCGTGAAAGTGACCATCTTGACCACCACACATATCACACACATTCCACACATAAGATTGAGTTGGTGCACAAAACTCGCTCTCAGGAATATTTTGATAATTTTGCCCTGGGTGGTTTCCTTCACAATATGCATAAGGAGGATCAAAAGTAGAATTACCAACAACAAAATTCTCATAATTCCATGATGTCATGTTTCTCAAATAAACAAATAAAAAAAATCAAATAATAAAATAAAAGTTCAAACTTGAAACCTAGCAATATGTACACCTACAACTACACCGTTAATTCCCCGGCAACGGCGCCAAAATTTGATCACGCCCAACTATGCCTTATAAAAAGGACAATGCGGTCGTTGCAAATATAATCCGGTTTACAAGTCCGGAGTCGAATCCCACAGAGAACTAAGGTTTAGCTACAGCTGTTCACTATCACTAAGAAGACAAGCTTGAACAATTCCTAACTTATAGATATTAAGATTCTTCTGTTTGACTAATTAACTAACAAATTAAAATAGTAAATTAACAACTAAAGATACTGAGGGTTAGAGAAAAGATTAAGGAGGTCTAGAGTTATGATTTCCCCAATTTTCGGAATCCTTCCCGCTATGTCTTCTATAATTTCGCCTAAGTATTCTCTACCGATCATGAGCACTCTTATTACCGTAAATCTCTCCCGAGTAATTACAACAATTTACTAGGCGCACTCTCCCGAGCTACGCTAGCTGGCTTTTAATACAGCTCACTTCAGATCGCACCCAAGGCTTCGTTATCCCTAATCCCGCCTTTAAACCCTCGGTTATTGATCCCTCATATACTCTGGGAGTGGTGTTGTTCAACAATTACCTAAATATGCACTCTCTCCCGAGTTATGCATACTAAATAGGCACAGCTAATTGAGAACTCTTCAATCAACCACAATATAAACGTAGTTGAACAAATAGAGAAAAGCTATGGCTCAATTATATAAAAACATAACAAGAATTTATCCTACAAAAGGTTCTATCAAAACTCTAGATAACAAATTAGTTATTCATAATAGTATGTAAAACTACAATACTAAAAGTCATAACCAACAATGAAAAATAGGAAGAGGAAGGAAAAAACTCGTAGAAGAATTCTCCGTCTTGCTCCCAATGTGTTCTTGCCTCCTTAGGTCGAATCTATGTCCAAAATATGTCCTCTTCTCTTTCTTGGCCGGCTTCCTTGGTTTAATATAGGGTTTAGGGCTTAAAATCCCGTGTTTTGCACACAAGTCCTTGAAATTTCCGCCTCCTGCCGCTGTTTTGCCGCGGTCGCGGTGGAACTGCGGCCAAACATGCCCTCTGATTCTTCAGTTGTCCGCGACCATCTTTTACCGCGGTTCTGCCGCGGTCGCGGTGGAACCGCGATTTTTCACCCTGTTCCGTTTGGAATTTGGGAAAACGTAAAACATGAAAGTTGTAGCCCTTTGAGTTAGATTTCCAACCATATATTGTGGAGCCCAAATAGAGTTCTGAACAAAAAGTTATGTCTATTTTACTAGATAGTGCGCAATATGCCTCCTCAAGTCTTTCGTACTTAATTATCAAATTTGACCCCTGAACACGATCCCGACTTAATTCCTTGAGCTTTTACTCAGACTTCAAAGCTTCAAATCACTTAAATTCATTCCATAACATCTATATAGCTCGGAATCACACCTACAAGGCATAAAACACACAATTAGTGCAAAACACTAGCGATTAAAGCGCAAACTCAATTAAAGTGCAGTAAATTCAAGTGTAATAAGCGACTAAAATATGCAATTATAGTCTATCATCAAATTGCCGTATCACAAAGATAAAACCAAAGACTCGAAGAATGATAAACTTACTGGAGTATCTCCAACGACAACAATGTTCACGTTATTGTTCGCGGTAAGACATGAATTCCTGTTTCTAATTCCTTAGAGGCAATGGTATTAAGGGACATGCTTTCCATGCTTCTTCTGTTGTTGGTTATGCAGTCATGCAAGCTATTGAGTAATTATGATTTTATCAATTCTATATCCAATGAAGATGAGAATATTAAGAACGGTATAGAAGTGAACAAGGGACAATTTTTTTGGATTCTTAAGTTGTAATGCAACTCTTCATTACCCTTATCTGTTATAACTCTTCACTACCCCCATGGCCCATTCAGACTATTCGGCTGATAACAGCCTTATTAATAATTTGTTGGATAGAATTAAGAGAAGGGTAGAATAGCCATTTAGTTTTCGGAAAAGGCCTAAAAATGTCACTCAACTTTCAGAAATGGTTTATCCATGCCATCCGTTGAAAAATTGCTATTTCCATGCCACTGCCGTCAAAGAAATGGCCCATCCATGCCATTATTGACTAACGACTCAATTTTTATTTGGCCCATCCATGCCACTGTCGTTAGTCAATAATGGCATGGATGGGCCTTTTCTTTAAGGGCAGTGGCATGAAATGAACATTTTTTTAACGGATGGCATGGATAGACCATTTCTGAAAGTTGAGTGGCATTTTTAGGCCTCTTCCGTTTAGTTTTTGATCGATATTTTGGTAATTCAACTTTGACTATAGGACCTTCTCACTTTTAGTATAATATGATTAGCCAAACACAAAATGTTTCTCATCAAAAGCACTTTGTTAAAAGTACTTTTGAGAAAATCACTTCTCAAAATAAGTTAATTTTAGAAGCTTGGCCAAACATGCTAAGTCTACCAATATATTAAGATAACTCATAAAAGAAGTTCTTAACCATCTTTCATTCAAGACAAATAAATACAGAGCAGATTACAATCCATTGCTGTTACAATCGTTCTAATCAACATATGAAGTCAAGTTTTCTTATCTTTTCCAATTGAGGAAGACTTGAACCATGGTATCAGGACAGATGTAGTCTTTTGGTAGTGCTTATATGCTTCAGTTCTGTATGTTTGGCTAAGCATCCTCTTCTCCACAAGCACAGTGACATATGCTAAGCAAATGCTATTTATGAGTGCACCAATGAATGTCCAACCTTGACCCAAATTCCATGCAATTAAGGCCAGTCCCCACCACCATAACTGTTCTCCAAAATAATTTGGATGTCTTGAGTAGCACCAAAGGCCTTTGTCAAGAATTGGAAACATTGGCTGGCCAAGATCTTTCAGTTTTTGATTTCTGCTAACAAAATAGTGGAGCTGTGTATCGGCGTGATAGGCGATTGTGATGCCGGAGAAGCAGATGACTATGGCAATAAAATCCCAGATGCTCCATGGCTTGTCCTGTGTATGGACAACATATAGAGGTAGGCATATTCCCATCTGTAAAACCTGCAAAGACAAAATGTATACCAAAAACTCAACATCACAAGAAGCAATAACAAAGACTTTGAAGAGGCATATCCCCATCATATTCTGTGCCATGAGAAAATGCATACTGCTCATAGACTCAGTCAAGGGCTGATATACAAGTAATCTATAGTATATTTTATGCACAGCCTGTAAAGAATAGAGAATTTCAAAATTTGGGTTTGACTCGATTTTTAAAAGCTAGTTCATGAGATGAATATTGACCAAGACCATATATGGAGATAACAACACAGGTCGAAGAGAATTGTGCAAAAGTATATGAGGACATAACAACATGTAATATGGGACTGTAACAAAATCTGGAAAAGTTTACATAAGATTGTAATGATTTTTACCATGTTTTTCACAAACCACATATATAGCTAATGAAACAAAGTCATTCTCAGAGTTTCATCAAGCAAAAACATAAGGAATGAAGAAAAAGAGTTACCTGCTGAGAGAGATAAATAGCCAAGAAAGAGACCCACCACCATTTCTTGCCATACTTGTGGCTCAAGTCTGTGAATCTCCAGTCTTGCCTCACTCCCCACTGCCGATTTTCACGTCGGAAGTAGCTGTGAATCAGCCTAATACTCCAAACCCATGTCAAAAGTATCACAACTCGCGACCTCAATTCATTGTACTGCGCCGTAGGATGATTGGCATAGAAATGTAGCACCATTACTGGAATCACCATCCAGTACAAACCTATCATCTGCAAATCATCAATTCAAAAAGAAAATCGGTTAATTCATCAAGTTAAAAAGGAAGAGCTAGCATTGACAGTGATTGAAGTGAGTTAATTACCCAATGGCTTGATTGAAGAAGAGCAATGAACCAGAAGAGGACGTTGACATTAAGAAAAAACAGGAGATTAGCGAGTAAAAGTGGATGGTGATTGCACCAGTTCCACAACGACTGATCTTCATGTCGATGATGAAGGAAATAGAGGTAGAAGAGAATGGAGGGAAGAGGAACTACACATGCAGTCAAGGCATTCTTGAAATTACTATGAGTAGCCATGTCTTTTTCAGTTATAACCAGCTAGTGTCCTTGTCTTTTTTGCTTCTAGGGGTCTAATTTATAAAGGAGTCTACGAGCCACGCCACATTAAAAAATGTGTATGATTACTCCTTTGGTCCATTCAATGTGACACATTTTATTACTCCCTCCGTTCGAGTTTGACCGGATAGAAGTTTAAGAAATAATGAAGACTTTTGGAATTTGTGGTCCTAAACAAGTCAAAAGGGGTCCAGAGTATTTGTGTGGTTATAAAAGCTTTTCATTAAGGGTAGAATTGTAAGTTTAAGCTATATTATTTCTAAATTTAGAAAGGGGTCATTCTTTATGCAACGGACCAAAAAGGAAATAAGTTCACATAAATTCGAACGGAGAGAGTAATAATTTATTAAAAAGAATAAAATCTTTTTATATTTTAAATTAATTTAGTTTTAAACTTTTTTTTCTTAGTAACATGATTTTGTAGCCATAAAAATCTCATGGCATATTAAAAACTACACGTTTTTATATTATATATTCTTTTTTAAAATTTCGTACCTAGTCAAACATCTCACATAGAGTGAAACAAAAGAATATTAATGAGGAGTATGGTAGAATGAATTAGATCCTTTCCACCCACAACTCAAGGTCTCGAGTTCTTGTTCGGGAAATAAAGAACCTCTTCGTAGAAAATACTTTTACCAGTGGACTTATAGCGTAAATAGAAAATACTCCCTCTGTTCAATTTTATGTAAACTTATTTTCTTTTTGGTCCGTTAAAAAAAGAATGACCCCTTTCTGAATTTGGTAACAATTTAGCTTAAACTTACAATTCTACCCTGAGAAGCTTTTATAACCACACAATATTCTGGGTCCCTTTTTGACTTGTTTAGGACCACAAATTTCGAAAGTCTTCATTTTCTCTTAAACTCCGTGCCCAGTCAAGTAGGTTCACAAAAATTGAAACGGAGAGAGTACTAGTTAAGTCATTAAATTTCTAATATGAGATACTAAAGAAAACAAAAAAAGAAGAAAGAATGAGCATGGACTGATCCAAAAGAAAGCAAAAGGGGCTACTTTACATTGTCCATTGCACTATCGTTATGATTTTCTTCTTGTCACCTAGAGGTTGCTATTTAAAATTATGATTACTTCCACTATCATTCTTGTCTCTATATTGTTACCGACAATCATGGCATTTCATCATCTTCTTCAATTAATTTGGACGTACCGGTTATGCAATATGGGATGATAAATTTGATGCTAGCTATCATGCTATATGTTTTATTGAATCCTGATGTTAGCTGCCACAACTTAATGATTTCATCACAAAGTCAACTGATAATAGCTTTTCTACTATGAGTTGATGTGGGAATTTTCGGTGATTTGATTGTATGGTTAAAAATATATTATGAAGAAAGGTATACTTATAAACTACAAGCATAATTGAGTTGCTTGATGATTTTTATATACACATTCAAATTCAAGAATTAAACTTTTAGTATTCTGAGTTTTACAATGATCACTTTAAGTATTAATAAAAAACATAATTTTAAATTTAGAATTTGTACATATTTAGTAAATTTCATGAAATAAATACAATATTTAGGACAAATTTGCTAAGTTTAACCGAATCTGTAAGTTGCCTACCGGGTTCGCTCTATCTATATGTTGAGAACATTGAATAGATTCGCTTGGTGATGAAAGTTCAATTAGTGTCTGTTACGATTTTCAGTATTCGATCGTGATAACTAATAGAAAAATTTACATTGGGTAAGTTTTTTACCTTAGATTACATTTGGCAAAAGAAGCCCAAAAAAGTTTGCATTCTATAGTTCAGTCAATTATAAAATAGCCGAGGCAAGTAAAATATAGGAGAATCTGTACATTTTAAAAAAGGGTCTAAACTACCGCTATCGTTTGCTAAATAGTTTGCAATACCCTCCGTCCATCTATCCATCCAAAAGAGGACATGACATTAATTTTATTAATAAAATTGCCCCCACATAAAATCTCTTTTTATACCCATTAATTCTAAACTATTTACTCTTTAATGCCCAGATCCAAATTATTTACTACGCCTGCCCATGGGGCCCAAACTATTTATCCGGCACCTTCTAACTTCCAAGTTCCAACTGTATACCCTTCTTGTACTACTACAGGAGTATTACTTCTCATAAATATTCATCAATACAACAAGAATATGGTCATTGGCCAATAATTCTCCGATCTGTCTTTTGTCCCACAGAATTGTGATTTCGTGTTCAAATGATTTGTTATCCTTTTATGTTTGAAACATATTACCTAATTTCCCAAGGGCACTTAATATGAGGGAGTAATATTTTAAGAAAAGAGATCTACAGTCTTCTCCAAAATTAGTCTTGATCGATTTATACTAACTTTTAGTTTGTTTACACCTTGATTGTTCTTTCCCTAACTCTTGCTTTTGCCTTGGCCCTTGAATTTAAATTTTTTTTTTGAAGATTTCTTGTTTGATTCAAAGTGGGTGTTGTTAAATATTACTTGTAGTACCATCTGAAAGTTCATACTGAAATTTGATAGCATTTGGAGATGATTTGAGGTGATTGAGATCGAAATTTTCAGTTAAAAATCGAAGAAGAACACAGCTACAATATACTGCTACGGTATACAATATGCCGTAGGAGTATATAACTATACTGCAACAGTATACTATTATAGTTTACAATATACTACAACGGTATATTGTAATAATCGAAGAAGAACATAGTTACCTAACAGTATACCACTACAATATACAATATACTATAGGAGTATATAGTTATACTGCAACAGTATACTATTATAGTATACTGTAATATATATGCAATATACTGTAACAGTATGCTGTAATAGTATACAATATACTATAATAGTATACTTATTACACGTAAATTCACTTGCCTTTTCCCTTTTAATTTGCTTTAAGCTTTTACCCAGCGTGAGGGGCAAATTGAAAATGCAAAAAAGTAAAAACAAAATAATATTATAGTATGATATATAATATAACGGTATACTCTTACAATTAGATCTTTTTAGAATTTTTTGAAATTTTTACTGACAACTGATATTATTTTATTTTAATAATTGATTTAATTTTTTTTAACTCTTTGCGTACAATTGTATACCCTATTGGTATAGCTATATACTATATCGGTATCATATGTTAGTTAATATTTGATTGTAATGGTTACATTTAATTGGTACACAATTTGATTTTTCTTTAGTAATAGTATAAAAAAAAGAATAATAAAAAATAGTGAAACCAACCTCTCTATCCTTGTTTTATTTCCATCTTCCTGAGCCGAGGGTCTATCGGAAACAGCCTCTCTGCCCTATCGGGGTAGGGGTAAGGTCTGCGTACACACTACCCTCCCTAGACCCCACAGAGTGAGACTTTACTGGATCGTTGTTGTTGTTGTTGTAGTGAAAACAGTAACTGAAATTAGATTATGAAGAGAAAAAGAATATAAAAAAAAAGTTAAATGAAATTAGAAAAGGAAAAATGAAAAAAATAAGAAGAAACCGAGAAATAAGAAAACGAGAAAAGAAAAAAAAGAAAAAAAGAAAAAAAAAGAAGCATAGAAATAAAAAAGAATTGTAGAATAAAGAAAATATTCCCCACAAAAACTACTATGGATAGAAAATGTAATTAGTTTATGGGTAGAAAAACAAATAGGTAGACAAGGATAAATAGTTTTATTTTTGTAGGTAACTGTGTCAAAACCCCTTCAATTTAATGACGCATCATTTTTTATTGGGTCACGTGATAATCTCGGACTGAAACAATCAAGGCTATGAGTAGCCATGTCTTTTCAATTATAACCAGCTAGTGTCCTTGTCTTTCTTGCTTATAGGGGTCTATTTTATAAAGGAGTCTACGAGCCACGGCACATTAAAAATTGAGTATGACCACTCCTTTGTTCCATTCTATTGTACATTTTATTATTAATTTATTTAAAAAATGATATCTTTTTATATTTTAAAATAATTTAGTTTTAACCTTTAATTTTTCCCCTTAATAACATGATTTTGTAGCCATAAAAATCTCATGACATATTAAAAATCACAAGTTTCAAATTTATATATTTTTGTTTAAACTTCGTGCCTAGTCAAACATCGTCACATAAAGTGAAATAAAAGAATATTGATGAGGATGTGGTGAAATGATTTGGATCCTTTCCATCTCAACTAAAGGTCTCGAGTTCTTGTTCTGGAAATAAAGAACCTTTTCGTAGAAAATACTTTACCAGTGGACTTATGTAGCATAAATAGAAAATAATAGTTAAGTCATTATTTCCAATATCAGATACTCCCTCCGTTTCAAATTAGATGAGGTACTTTCATTTTTAGTCTATTCCAAAATAAATGACACATTTCTAAATTTGGAAATAATTCGACTTTAAAATCTTCATTTTACCCATCTTACCTATAATGAGATGCTTTTATAACCACACAAATGTCATGGCCCCACAAAATTTTTACCCCTTAAATTTTTAAGACACAAATTTCATTCTTTTTTTTTTCTTAAATCTCGTGACGAGTCAAACTATCTCATTTAAATTGAAACGGAAGGAGTACTAATAAAACAAAAAGAAGAAAGAATGAGTATGGACTGGTCCAAAAGAAAGCAAAGGGGCAACTTTACATTGTTTATTGCACTATCTTTATGATTTTCTTCTGTCAATGAGCAGTTGTTATTTAAATTTGAAATATATATTTACTTCCACTATCATTCTTGTCTCTGTATTGTTACCGACAATCATGGCATTTCATCGTTTTCTTTAATACATTTGGGCGTACCAATTTTGCAATATGGGATGATAAACTTGATGCTAGCAAGTAGCAAGCATGCTTTATGTTTATTGAATCTTGATGTTAGCTGCCACAACTTAATGATTTCATCACAAAATCAACTAATATAAGGTTTCTACTATGAGTTCATGTGGGAACTTTCGGTGATTTGATTGTATGGTTAAATAAACTACAAGTATAATTGAGTTGCTTGATTGATTTCCATACACAGATGCAGATTCAAAATTTATACTT